ATCTACTGTGACATACAGCATTCGAATGGCAGTATTCTATACTGAAGTTTAAACTTGAAAGTGTTCTTCAGTTGTCTAGAGAATTTGAATGATTTTAATTGTGAATTGAAGAAACCTTAAAAATAGGCTTGGACCTGGCTGGTGTGGCTCAGTTGGTTGCAGCATCATCCCATACACCAAAAGGTTGGGTTCAGTTCTCTGTCAGGGCACGTACCTAGGTTGTGGGTTCCATCCCCAGTCGGGGCATGTATGGGAGGCGGTCAAGTGATGTTTTTCTCTCACATTGATGCTTTTCTCTCTCTCTCCCTTCCTCTCTATTTAGAAAATCAAGAAACATTAAAAAAATAAAAATAGGCTTAACATCTACTATTTATTCAATCAGTGCTCAGAGATTTGCATGCATCTAGAGTGTTAGATATGATTCATGAACACAAAAGTCCTCCTGGTTTATACAGACACTGCATCTTCCACATCTTTTGCTGATTCCTCTGTCAGTGCAATTGGCCAGATAGTTGGAGGACTTTTCTGAGAACAGAAATATACAGAATAAAGTGTATGACATAGCTATTTTAGGATAAGGATTAAATTGATACCCTGAGTGAATGTTTTAAATTTTTACTAAAATGTTTTTACAGGAGATTCAGGCTCCGTAATGATGAGAAACTTATCTTTCAGGCGACCTTAAGGTACGGTAGCCTTCTTAGTTACAAATGTGCTGTAGTTGGGGCGTCTTTTAAAAATGGGAGGAATGCCCTGAATCTGTACAGATTTGAAGATTTATTTCTGAATTATTTTTATAATTTGAACTTGTTTTTTTCTTGCTCAGATTCCACAGGGGTGAAAAAACCCATGGCTTATCAAGGGAATGTTTAATAATCTTCAATGCAAAATGATTTTAAATACGAAATGCATAGCCCTTGTGTTTTTAGATTTGGCCCCATAAACCATAAGATGTTAACAATGAAAAAGCATTTCAGAATGAAAAGAATATTTAAACAAGTTTCCATGTGTCCTACAAAGAATTTAAAATTGAGCTCCTCCACCCCACTTTAATTCAGTAATTAACTGGATTTGCCCCTGAAGTTTGGGGGACTGTAATAGTTTACACCTGTTTCAACTTCTGCTGTTTTTATTGGCCATGGCTTTCACCATCCCGTATTTCTTGTGAAGCAAAAATATGAAATAAAATATGGCCAAGCACTGAATAAATTATAATAAACATAAAAATGAGTTGTTCAGCTTAAAATATGAAATGCTTTACCTGCACAACCCATGAAGCTGTGCTTCAGTAGTATTGAAATAATTTATTCTGTGTCATGAAAGTAAAGACAATTGCTTTCATTGGCAAGAAGAATCCAGGGTTTATACAATCAAACGATTAAATTTTGGAACATCAGGCAGAAGTCATATTGTAAAGACAGAAAAAGGCTACTAAATCATTATGTGTGTTTATATTACTGTGGAATAGAAAAGATGAGGGTGTAACAGTGTACAAAAATGTGAGGACTCAATGGAACTGTTATACCACAGAATATAATCAGACTTCAAAGGTCAAAGGATGTCATGAAATCAAATAGGGGCTGGCTCATTGCACAAGCAACATTTCCCCTGCAAATATACTGAAGAGAAAGCCACTGAATCCAGATATTATCATACCTCCTATTTTTTCTTGCAGTCCAACTCTCAGATGGACTCCCTAGAAGCAACCTTTATTCTTTAGGCCTGACGGTAGCTGCCTAGCTCTAGTGTTGGGTTAGGAGTAAAGCGACTTGCTTTTTAGCAACTGTCCAGAATGAGAAGAGCTAAATTACAGTCCTGTTAGGTTTAATTTGGGGAGAGCTGTGACTGTGAAAAGATCTTTTGGGAAAGTTGTCAGTAGAACTGAATTTTAATTTTGGCTTTCTCTCACTAGTTGGGTGGCTTTGGACATAGGGGCGAAGGTTGTGTAAAAGGGGGCATGACCTTGCCTGTTTTAATCTGCCAGTATAAGACACATATTTGTGGGGTGAGAGTGAACTTCCCTTTGTTCTTTTCTGGGTCTCTAAAATGAACATCTTAAATGCCTACATTTATATTGAGGAAAAATATATTCTACCAGCACCCCACCCCCCAATCTCTCACTTCTTCAGCATCTATATTTTGATACCAAGGATTTTAGAGTAAGTTAGAGAATTGAACTCTCACATTTGGGCACAGAAGCGTTCCTGTTTGTGGAGAGAAGACACTTCTGGTGAAATGGTGCTCTCCCTAGATTGGCCTCTGCGGCCTGGACAACTCTGCTTGGGTGTGGCCAGTGAAAGTCCCACAGGAGACCCAGCCATCTGGGAATTAGATAAGGACACTCCCTGCAAAGAGCCAGTGACTGGGACCCACAGTGGTTTCCACCTGAGACAATGATCTACCCAGGTTCCTTTACCAGGGCTCTAGTGGGCTTGGGAAATGACCACTTCTCATGATTTAGGAGAAAATCAGACTCAGATTTGGAGTTTCTCAGCATAAACATTTGTAATGAAAAAGAACAGCGATTTTTGGTGCTAATGAGTTTGCCATTTCTGGCGCCCTGCCTCCTCTTCCCCCACAAATCATAAGGTTGCTGAAAGGTGCAGATTTCTGGTTAAATTTTAGATGTTTCCCTGGAACGTGGTTAATTGTAGTTTGGATCTAACTAAGGCAATTTCCCCTTTTTTATTCATTCTGCTATTGAATGGCCATTCTGTGAAGTCTGTTCAGATTTGGAATGAGGGGGCATTTCAAGGTCGTGACATAATGGGTTTGTCATGAGCAAAATAAGTGTCCAAAAGGGAGTTTCTGTGATGAAATATAGTTGTATCATGAAATTTAAACTGATGAATTCTAAGTTGTGTTAAGAGTTCTGTGTGTGTGAAAGGGGTGATTATCTGCCTTCCTTGATAGGCCTTTGAAGATATCTTTGATTCTAAAATTTCTTTTCGAAGAAGAGTTTCCTTGATGTCATAGAATTTTTTCACAACTTTCTGCCCTGGTATGTAGTTTTCATTGCCAAGCAGTTGTGTTATTTATTAGGACCCCTTTAAACGATTTTCAGCTTTAGAGTTAAAGGCAGCCAGAGAGGTGGCTGAACTGAAGCTCCTGCAAGGCAGCCGATACCTCGATGTGTGTTTTTGGGTTGGGCTCTGACCTTTCACCTTGTGTGGGTGGCCCCTCTAGCCGAGGGTCCACCACATTTGCCAGTTTATTTAGAAAGATTAAACTTTGCTTTTCTTCTGTTCAAATTTTCATTTAATGTTTTTAAAAAGGCTTTAATGCTGACATACTTCCAAGTTAGAGAGTGAAAAATCATAATTCGTAGAGTTAACTGTGTGGAATCTTTTTGTGGAAATGTGTGCTTCAGATGCTCACCTCAGGGTCTATACTTGGTTCATGCCATTCACAGTGTGATGTTTGTGCAAAACACAAAGTTAAAGTGGTATTGGCATTATGTATTCATTTTTTGCTGCTGTAACAAATGACCACAAACACAGTGACTCACAATGTGAATTAATTATCTCATGTTTTGGAGGTCAGAGGTCTGACGTGTGTGTCACTGGGCTACATCAAGGAGCTTCAGTCTCACAAGGACCCCTTGTGATTACATTGGGGGCCCCTGGCTAATTCAGGATTATCCTTCTATCTCAGGATTCTTGATTTAATCACCTCTGCAAAATCCCTCTTGCCAGTAAGCTGACAGATCGATAGGTTCCAGGGATCAGGACAAGAACATCTTTGGTGGTGGGCAAGGTAATGTAGCCTGCCAAACATCGGAATCCAATTTTTAATTGTTTATTTCTTTTTAGCTATTTTTCATGCATTTCCTCAGTTTGTCCTTGGTAATCACAGAGGTCTGTACTCTGTGTTCTCTTTGTTGGATAAAAACCTGATGACAAAAACACACTTCTACAAAGTTGTGTCCTGTCTTGTATTTAACTGTGTAATTTTAAAAAAAAGTCGGTGGGAAAACAGTTAATAATACCTGTTATTATTTTGAAGGCAGAGAGAATTTCTTTGAATTTTGAATCCTTCTCCTAACAATGATCTGTCATACTTCTTGGGTCTTTAATCATTTTAACAAGTTCCAGAGTTCTCACCCCAGCTCCTTTTGCTGTCCGGGCGAGAGGGGGCTGCTCCAGGTAACCACTGCCCCTCTGCGTTCTAATTGGGCACCTGTTGGGTGTTCACCCCCTAAAAGATGCACTTGGAGGCCCGTGGCAAGCAAGATGCTGTTGGCTTTTGTCCTCTCTCCCTTTAGTCAAACGTCGCACCTCTCCCCGCAGATGAAAAGAAAAAATGTTAACAGTCTTAAGACATTTGAACATAGAGAACTGGGTTTGTCCTATATTTATAGGCTACCATTTAGATACAAAAAGACTTCAAATACAGCAGCCTTTTAATTAATCTTACATGAAGTTTTGTTGCCTGCGACTTTACCATTACTGTTTAATTCTCATTTTTTTTCCTCTCTCTTCATATAAGCCAATGAAGGAGTGAATTGAAGTAGTATATGATGCCAGCCGAAATTCAAGCAGAGTGTATAGTCATTGCAAAATATAAAACTGACACAGCTCACCAGGCCCTGTACCACTAGCCCTGGTGAAAAGGCGGCCACAGGCCTGGGACTGATTACAGACAGGAAGTGCTTAGGGTGCTACAGCTGATTATATTGGTAGTTACAGTTGTTCACATAGTTCCTTAACTACAAAAGGAGATTACTTTCATCTTCATGTGAAAATAGAGATTTGTGAGTCTTTCAGACAGGAAAGGAGTGGGAAATTATCTCAAGATGTATAATTGCGATTGGATTGGCATTTTATTCTTTATCAAGTTTGTATCCCCTGAGGAAGCCTGTTGGCAGTCACTGAGCTTTGGGAGGGCAAGAGTGGCATCTTGTTTACCTTGGTATTCTCATACCTGATACTCGACAGTTTTTGAGTACATAGGTTGAAAAAAAAAGAAACTATTTTAAATGTTTACATTTTTATTTACAGCTGCTGCTGAAGGAAAAGGCAAAAGTGGGGAAGACTTTTTTCAAAAGGTAAGTTGCTTTTTACTCCTGCCTTGGTGATAATGATTGGAGAAACATACCTGTCTCACTAGCTGCAGTAGAAGCTCCTGAAAGCACTCCCTCCACGAGAAAGGAGATAGGTTCTTGATAGACAGCTGGGGGTGCTCCAGGCTTGGAAAGGGTGGGCCGCTGTTTGTCACCGTACTTTTGTCAAAAGGCTCCTTCTCGGCAAATCTGATGAAGTTTTTGCCTGGAGACAAGGAGGGCTGCCAAATGTGCTGTCTTGATTATCTCCTTTTACTCTTGCTCCCTATTTTCTTCTTCCCCAAACACATTCCTGACCTGAGAGGTAAAGAGAAGGAATCCCCTCAAAGCCTTCCTCTTTTCCTGTAAGCATAACTGTGGGCAGATAATATAATCCATGAAGATGTACCTTTAGACCTGCTTGCTCACAGTTGGTAACCATGTCAACTCTGTCCTTGGGTATCTTCTGAAAGCTGTGATCTCAGTGCAGACAGTGGCCCGTCATGTATAACACAGGGACATAGGAGTGGAGCTGATTAAAAAATGAATATGAGAAACTAGTAAGAATAGTTGATTAATTCTGATCAGCTCTATTTCTTAAAATAAATGTGCCATATAAGGGAAGATACCAGTTGTGTCCAAGAAATTGATTCAAGTTCATGTTCCTCTTTCTTTTATTTATTTGGATTTATTGTGTTTGTGTCTTTGCTGTTTGGGATCCAGAAAACGTGCGTAGGAACAAGTATATAGTTACCTTAGGCGTCGGGAAGAGTAAAAATATAGCAGCGACTATGTAGAAGATTAAATAATGCTGTAGAGGGTCATCAAGCCCTTGGAAAGCACCTATGTGTAACCAGATGTGGCCTTTACAAGCCTCTTTATTCTCTTGCCTTCTGTGTGATCTCCTTTTATTTTTTGTCAATCTCATCATTCATCTGCATACTCTGCCAAGAGTATTAAAAGCAAATATTTTCAGAGCAGATACTTATATTGCCATTTCTTCATTCTGAAAATATTTATTTACCACCTGCTGTGTGCTACACACTGGAGAGGCCAACATGAGCAAGGCATCAGCCCTGCACTGAAGGAATTAGTCTGGTGTCTGGTGATAGGATCACAGAAATAGCAGGAGAGCCTGGGGCCACAGAGGATTAAGCACTTAACTGGGACTTTGGGAGATTAGAGAGGACTTCTTGAGGTCTTCAGAAGAGTAGAAGTTAGCCACGGGAAGAGGTAGGCTTGGGTGGATTGAAAGACCCAGAATGTAGGGAGGCTCAGAGGTGGAAGAATTTATGTGGCATTCATACCTTAGATGTTTGGCTGGCATACAACATACGAGGGGTTCATAGTGCAAGGTGAGCTACACTACCCTATATGATGAAGTACCTTCTTTCAGTGGGAGAGGGGATGGATTTCCTAAAGGGATTTAAATTTTAAAAAATTGAAAATGCTGGGTGGGCCAAATAGAATGTGCCAGACCACAGTTTTCCATCCCTGCTTTAGGTTCATGCTGTTGTTTATATGCTATGCCTGAAGCCCTTTACTTGGCAATATGTGACGTTGGTTAATATCCAACTTGTTCTTAGTCCTTGGGCATTTTGGAATGCCCTGCCTTTAGCTGGGGCGGGCTTGCTGCAAGGGGAAGAAGACAAGACAAGGAGCAGATGCTCAGGTTTGCCTTGGGTTGGCTGTGGTAGGAAACGTAGATGATATCTGTGGAAGGAATTTTTTTTTTCGTTTTCTTTAACTTGCAGATAGATGTAAAAAGCAGACTGTTGAGCTTTGTATGACTCAGACATTTTAAAAGCTGAATCAAAACACAGCGTATGTGGTCATAAAGGACCTTCATTCTTAGAAGATTTGCTAATATTTATCACTCTTTGTGGAGCCGTATATACATTCCAGCAGTTTAAATGGAAACACATGTTTCCACCCAGGAACATGTGTGTCCCACAAACTGTGGGTTAGAATTGCACATTCTGTTCTTGGTTACAGGTTAATGAGGTTCCTGAGTAACTAAACGAGAATAGTTTTCATCTCCTCATTTTCTTCTTTAGTTCATTAGAAAGTGTCTTCCTGATAGACAAGTGTCCATATAGATTGGGATACTCACTCTGGAAAAAAACCTGTACGTTAAAGGCAAACATCCCAAATTCCAGGAAAGTAATTTTCAGCGTCTTGACCAGACAGAAATAGACATTATGGTTCATCTGCAGTAGAATGAAGTAATGGAGAAGTGTTGAATTGTTCTCCAGGAACTTTTTTCTGGTCACACGTATTCCAGTTTCACATAATGACATTTGGGGAAACATTTAAGAACAAGAAAGAGGCCATATTGCTGGTCATTAGCATCTTTGAAAAATACTTTGCTATTTCCAGAGTGATGAAAATTCAAAGGCTCCATATGCATATTAGAATGTGTTTTGGCTTTGACTATAGGTGTGTATCACAAACCAAAATTGAAACCTCTCTAAGCTGAGTTTAAATTTTGACTACCCTTATTATTTAAAAGAAATGTTTTAGTCTGGAAGGATACCTTTCTAGCTTCATACAGTCTCTCTGTAAAGAGGGGATTGGAGGAGGAGTGTGAAACTTTTTATATATTGCTTCATTTTTCTTTTGTACCTTTAAAATATATGTAAAAATGTAGAGATATAATTATTAACCTAAATTAAGTGTTCTCACTGGAAAAGTTTGAAATTAAAAAATGAAAGAAAATTAAAAATGTCTATAAGAATACGAATTGGTAGGTTTCTCCAAAGAGTTTAATTGCAGTTTGTCAACTACTAAGATGGTCAAATGCATTGTCTTAAATTTGAAGCTGTAATAGTGGTTCAGTTTACTATCTGTACACATGAACTTTTCCCATTCAGTCCTAGTTATTGTTTCAGAAATCTACCTGGTTTTCTATATACTGTTTTATTGCACATGTTTGAAACATTTTATTTCCCCTGATACTCTGTTAGGGCAAAAAACTAACCAGTTATAGCAGAGAAACCCAATAATACCATGACTTAAGGAACCGAGTTATTTTACTTTCACATAACAGTCTAAGGTGAGTATTCCCACTTGGTGGGTGGTATTGTTCCATACTGTCAGTGAGAGACCCAGATTCCTTCTGTGAAGTTGCTCTGCTGTTCCGTAAGTCATGGGCCTCATCTGTGTGGTTGAAGGTGGGTCGTCGCCGTGTCCAAATGTGAGCTGATACAGAACAAGAGAGTGTGGAGGAGGTGGGCCATGGTCTTAAAGGTCAGGGCTGGATGTCGCATATCTCACCTCTTCTCACATTCCCTTGGGGAAAACTTATTTGTGGGGCCTTATATAACTGCAGCGAGGGGGTGGGAAGGGGAAGAGGAGCATAGGGATTTTGCAAGCGCTATGCAGCAAAAGACAGATCGTTAGGAAAAATGTATGTGGTTAAAGTTTTATGTCTTCATGTGCCTTTGAAACCTTTTATATTACTTTGTTAGGGCTGCTGTAAAAATGTTCAACAAACTGGGTGGCTTCAAAAACAAAACTCTGTTGTCTCGCAGTTCTGGAGGCTGGAAGTCCAACATGAGGGCGCAGCAGGGTTAGTGCCTTCTGAAGGCTGTGAGACAGTGTTGCCCTCTTTGGCCTGTTGAGTGCCACCCTGATCTCTGCCTTCATCTTCATGTGCAATTTCCTCTGTGTATGTCTCTGTCCAAACTTCCTCTTTTTATAAGGACACCAGTCATATTGGCTTGGATCATATGCAGTTACTAGGGTGATCACACCTCACCATTCACTAATTGCATCTGCGATGACTATTTCCAAATAAGGCCACATTTGGAGGTACTGGGGTTAGGATCTCACTGTGGGAATTTGGGGCCAGCACAGTTCAACCTCTAATACCCTTTAATGGAGGAAATGATTTTGCAGAAAAGTTTACTATAACCAGAAGAATTTGCCAAAACTGTAAATGTTATTTATTACATTTTGATGCTCAATTTGATTTGTAGATTTTAACTGCCTAGTCTAAAAAATTTGTACCAAATCTGTATTTTTCTTATTACAAGTCATTTCTAAATTGTCTAAAATAAATATATAATTGACATGTAAGGAAGTGAAAAAAATCTAATTCGTTACCCTACCGTTGAAAGACACCTACTGCTTATACAACCGTAGTCCTTTCTGTCCATAGTGCTTTTTAATATGCTCTGATTGGCTGGTGGGATTACCAATAGACTGTTTGCATTAGCTTTATCCCAAATGCTTTCCTATGTTAAAACTTTGCAAGTTTCCCCAGTAATTGTACTTATTCTTTGTCTCTAACTACACTGACAAAGGGAGGGAATGGATACAACTTTATCAGTATTCTCTCTAGTTCTTTGTCCACTGCTCATGGCGGCCTTAATTGAAACACATGGAAATGATCTGGCTTTTACAGTGCTTTGGGCAGTTGTTCATGGCTTACTCACTGTCTGTCCTGTTTCCTTTTAATCAGTTCTTTTTTTTTCCCTCTTGTGAAATGACTATGGCCAGATCCTGGAGGGGAAAATGTGTTTCAGTATATTAGGTAGGGATGGGTATAGTGATTGTATTACAGATGTGACTCATCAAAGCAAAAATGCTTCAGGAACCTTGAATCCCAATGGCTGGAGAAGACAAAATACAGTCAGCATCATAACTGATGAAAGCCAACTTTTCCATTGCATTGGGTTATATACATGCTTTCTCCAGAGTACACAGCACATATTTTAAATGTGGGGATATTTTATACCCTTAAAATATGTAGGTTTGCAACACTGACATATAAACTGTGACTTTCACAAAGGCTAACAGTATGGCTGATACAAATAAGATCGAGTTTGGTGGTTTATGTGGTATATTTTTGCTGCTTTCAAACTTATCCTTCTTCAGCAAACATTAGTTTTGTCATTTTGAGCCTGGAAAGTAGCAAATGTTTTCTTCTGGTGCGAATGGCTGGGAGGAGTATTTGCTTTCATCTGTTCCTCCAAATGAGTGTGCTAGGTGGTCTTAGGTGG